AAATATGGTTTAACTTTGGTGGTCATGCTTTATTTAGCATATTTTTGTGGAGTCTCCTGTGATACTGCCCAGGAAAGTAGGACTCCCAGCCTATCATAGGCCCTGTGTTGTGCTTTTAAAATAGTTGGCAAACTTTGTTACAAAAATGAATAACTTTGGATATTAGGAGTCTTGTTTCATTTTCACGTTTGCCTTCTTGGACAGCAAGTCTTATTTAAGATTCTGCATTTTGGGTGAGAATATAGATCATACTGTAAAAAATGTGAAAGCATTTCACAGTTATAAGCATAAAAGATAAGGCCTTGACTTAAGTCATGACGGAAAAGGGAATAAATGTAACTGAATATGTAGTACCTAAGCAACATTTCAACTGGTAAGTGTGGCAATCTTAAAGGCTCCCAAGTTCCTGAGATCATTATAGTAATCTGTGAGGGAAGACTTGTTTCTTTTACATGTTCTAATGGTTTGAGGTTACTGGATGGTCAGTTTCCCCTAGAGCTTACTGCTTCACTTAGTAACTTTGCACTGTTTGATATCAGACACAGAGAGTAACTTCTCGAATGAGTAGTCAGAATAGATTTTTTTTTCTTACTTTTACATGAAGCGTATTGTAAGGAACTTGGCCAAGTTAGACTTAGAAATAAAAGTTGATTCCACTTATGACAGTATGACAGACTAAGTATAAAAAAGTAATTTCCATGAAAAATGATTAAGTGCTCTATGAAATATAAAGACTTATTTGTCCTCTATAAAATACAAGGACTTATTTTGAAAAAGCATCTATCTATACATTACAGAAAATAATCCAAGGCCGGAAGTGATAAGAGGGATCACAGTATCAGGATTTATATATCTGGCATCTACTATAAGGGAACCTATATCATATTCCTGGTTCCAGGTCCCATAAGATCTGGCTACTAACCCATCATGCATATTAGTAACAGAACATATTTTAAGACCTGAGTAGAGTGGAAATCATATCAATTACTCCCATTTTTGTTGTTTGGTGGATATTGAATTGTTTAGGATAACTGTGTCTTTGATAGACTGACCTTTGTCGTTACATAGTTGTCTTCTTTGTTCTGATTATTTTCTTTGCTTTCAGGTTTCTTTAGTTGATAACAACAGCTATTATTGCTTTCTTTTGGCTGTTTACTGTGACAGATCATTCTTAAAATTAATTTTTTAATTTATCATAAAATTAATGAGTTTTACTATATTTTCATACATATATTTTATGCTTTGTTCATATTTGCCCTCAGGCTGAATAGCTTATAATTGCTCTGTTTATAACACATATTATTGAAATACAGTCCAAACATTTCCACTTTGTTCTTTATTACATCTTGTATTTTTTTGTGTAGATTGCAGTTTTCTGTTATTTCTGTTATTTGTTTTAGTAACTTCTTAATAAACTTTGAAGCATTTTCATGACAGATGCTTTAAATGTAAGATCTGTCTAAACATTCCATTTGAGATCTGCCTTGTCTTGGAAAGTGATCTTTCTGTTGAAATTTGGACAATTTGGATAATATGCCATGCAACTCTGAATCTTACACAGGCGTTTTGCTTCTTAATTAGCATACTGTATCACCACTCCAACCGAAGACGGTTTTGTGTTTCTCTTACTTCTGAGTAGGAATAAAGTTTTGGCCCAGTCCAACATCCTGACAACTTCATCAGGAACTGTTAGGAATGTCTTGTTTCTCTTCCCTGCATAGTCACTGGCCCTACTGGGACTGTGTCCTTGTTAGTACTGAGTGATGGTGAAGGCCTTAACTCTTCATCACGGAAGCTCTACCCTGGGCAGAGGAAGCTTGGTTGCTTGTTACTCCCTAGCGTGAGTACACGTCCATGCGCTTGTGTAGCTTCTGTAATACTGTTATACTGTAGAACTGCTGTTTTGTTGGATGTGGACACTTTAGGACACTAATTCAGTCTCCATTGCAATTGCTAGGAGTTGGACCACTGTATTTGGTGATACTAGAGTGGAATACTGTTCACAATTAGAACATTCTGTCTTTACAGGCTACTTTTTTCTCAGTCTTCTTGAACCTGGGACATTACTAGCCAAGTTCTAGATCACTGAGTTATATCCCCCCCCCAAGCCTTCCCCCACACACACAAAGAAAATTTTTAACAAAATAATAATAAGATAAAGCAGGCACAAGAATCAAAGACCTACTTATTCTCTCATTTAGCAGTACCATAAAAGTACTAAACTGAAAGCTACAGTCAGTCTGTGGAGGAGCTGGTGTAAACCCATGTAGGCCCTGTACTTTCTGTTTCAGTCTCCCTGGGTTCATACAAGCTTTTCTCAATTGTTTTAGAGAGTCTTGTTCTCCTGGTGTCCTCCATTCCCTGCTTCCCCTATTCCTTCTGCCTGCTCTTCCAGGGATCTGATGGAGACAATCTCATTTAGAGCTGAGTATTCCAAGGTTCTCCCCCTCCCCCTCTAGGCATATAATGTCTGGCTGTGGGCCCATCTTCTACAGGAGGAAACCTTTCTGATAATGGTTGAAAAGGCACTGATGAGTGAGTATAGCAGAATATCATTAGGAGTTATTTTGTTGTTACTTTTTATTTAGATGAGTAGTGGTTGGTTTTCTTCTCCTTTTCTCTTCTCCCCCTCATCCTATGTGCATCTGTCTAATATGTATTTGGGCATGGGCACATGTGTGCAACTGCACATACATGTGTGTGCTTGGGTGTAGAAGCCTATGTTCATTCTCAGTTATTTTCCACTGTATAGGCAGTTGAAACTATGGCTCAACACTTTGTCCTCAAGCTTATCTGACAAGCATAGTACTCACTAAACCATCTCCCTAGCCCCAATGGTACTGTTTTTGCCTCTGCCCTTCCAGAGCTGGGATTAATAGGCATTTGCTACCACACTCGACTTGCTGTTATCTGCAGCTTTAAGGATATCTGAGGCAAAAAGAAACTGAGTGGGCTCACCACTGTATGTCATTCTTGAAGTCTTTCCATTTCAGAATTTAAGAGTTGCTACAATGAGCCTAGATTGGCCTTGAGCTCAGAATTTCTGCTTCAGCTTCTCAATGTTGGGATTACATATATGTGTGTGTCACCACATCTGCTTTCATTCACAATTTTCCTATGCTTATAATCTATCTGCATTAGTTATACATAATAGAAAAGAAATGAGAAACAAACTTCTCAATTTTGCCAAAATTGGTAATTCATTTTGTGTAAGAAAGTTTCAGGACCCTCTCTGTTCTCTCATCTTGTTTGGGTCATTGCCCCTCCTGTAGTCATTTAGGCCCAAACCTATTGGAAGACTCTATAATGGTTTTCTCAGGTCTTCTTTTCTCATTCTCTCTTAAAACTATTCTAAGACATTTTATCTCTATCACTTCTAAAACACATCTTGCAAAAGTTATCACTTAGAATTAAGTAATCGAAGCAGTAACTTCTTAACAAAATTTGTAATCACAAAGAAGGAAATTGTACCAAAAAAGAAAATCTCCAATCTCAAATGCTGTGTTAAATGACTTAAATTTTAGCAATATTGGACAAGAAAACAGCTAAAAGGAAAAAACAAGTAATACTAATACAGGTTAAAAATACAACATCTCCTTCTATTACTTAATCTTGTTCTTTGGCAATGTCAGACATGTATATAATGCATAGCAATTACTCTCACCGTCCACCCTTATAATGTGGATTTAATGTGGAAAACCCTCTTAAATCAGATTTTATGTTAAGCAATGAGATGATTAGAAAAATATAAACAGTAAAAATAGGTTACAAAGAAATAAATTTAAATGGTCAAAATTTGAATGTTAATGTAGTTACAGTGTCTCTTTTATCTCATTTAGATAGATGCTAATTGTAATATTTAATAAACTTCATAAATTGTTTTAAGTAATCCTCATTTCATTTTTTTTATTCTATCTATAAGTTTGCTATCAAAGCTAGAAAGGAGTATTTTTAAAATGTCTTATCAATGTGTCAAACATGTAAGATGATTCAACTTGGCTTTTATAGGTGCTAAATATTAAATTAACAATAGTGATGTACCAAAACCTTTTTGTATGACCCATACCACATAGACCTTTACATTGCTGACTTAAGATACTGAAAATCTTGGCTACGTTTTAGGATAAGTGTGTGTTGCATTGTGAATTTTGAAATTCAGTTTGAATAACATACTGTGGTTACAGTAGATGCTACAACCTGTTTAATCAAGGGAAGTCAGGTTGTTTCATGTAGATGGCAAGTTTGAATTAGGTCTTGAGTTCTAGTTTGCCAACAGAAGAAACAAACTGTGCTGAAGCATAGCCATGACTTTTGAGAATGATGATTAAAAACACCTAGAGTGCAGTAAGGATTTAGAAGTCACAGGAAAACCTGGGGACTCGCCAGATAAGAAGGCCTTGCGTGCCTTCTTGTTAACAACATCAGAAAACCAGCAAGACTATTGAGTATTCCATTGACTTGGGTGTTTCTATTTACTGTCTCGACTTTAGAAATAATATGGACAATTGTTTGTAGCTTTGCATTTGCACCCTTCTGTAGTTGGGTGATTTGACGATTGGACTTTATTGGCCAAAACTGTGGAAATCTGGATCTGTGATTAGGTCAGTTACATTAATTCTGTGGTATCCTAAACTTTTTAAGACCACTTATGTCTGATCTTTTTCAGCAAGCTGATGCCTAAGAACTTTCTAAAGAAATATGGAAGTGACCTAATTATGACTTTCTCAGTCCTTGGAGGAGAGGCAGAACTAGAATTAAACATGGGTATGGAGCCCAGAAAGTAGGGCATTCAAGAGATGTTTGTGATTTGCTTGGAATTTTTGATTGAGATGTTTATTTTTCTTGAAGCTATTCCAGTGTACTCTGATTGCCAAATTTTCTCTGCTTTTTTTTGTTGCATTGCTAATTTAAAAACTTGTTTAAATTGTCAAATTGTTAATAAAGTACTTTCATATATGGACTCACTCTTAAAATGTTCTCTTCTGACCTCTGTCTTTAAGGTGTGACTGCACAGAAAAGTTACAGAGCAGGTTTGATTTTCTGCGCTCACAGCTGAATGACATCTCATCTTTTAAGAATATCTACAGATACGCCTTTGATTTTGCAAGGGTAAGTGCAGCTGCCCCTTCAGAATCTAGTGGTTTCATTTTATGGGCATACATTTATTTATTTATTTATTTATTTATTCATTCATTCATTCATTCATTCATTCATTCATTCATTTATTACTAATATTTTAGGATAAAGATCAGAGAAGCCTTGATATTGATACTGCTAAGTCTATGTTAGCACTGCTGCTTGGGAGAACGTGGCCACTCTTTTCAGTATTTTACCAGTACCTGGAGGTATGTATGGGTATTTTAAAATGTTTAAAAATTGGACTGAGAATACACTTTCAAAAAAAACAAAATATGTACATACTCATTGTCAGTTCTAGACATAAATTTGTTATTTAATATATTCTATATATAAGATACTTGGGAATTGGGGTATATGTTGGTGGTAGAATACAGAATTCATGCTTTGCGTTTGTTACACTTTAGATATCATCCCCTATACCACCACATTAAAACAATTTTAAGAAGTTTTCCTTTTACCTAGGAGATGTCCCAGTAAAAATACTCTAGAATAGACCTTTCTTACAAACTTAATCATTTGAGGTTTTGGTGAGAAAAAATTGATGCTAGTACATAAATCTCAAGCTTCTAAACCAGATTCTACCTTATTCCTAGTCCCCATCCCCTAGTGTTAGATGGAAGCATCACAACTGAATTTATTTTAGCAATAAAACTTTTATTTTCTAATTAGTCTCAATATTAAGAAATAGAATAAAATGTTACTATTTTGTATCTGCAAATATGAGCATGCTGTAGTAGTTATCCACTAGACTGCTTACTATGCCTCGTGTGTTCACTTCATGGAATAAACATCCTCTTAATAGTTTTGCTGCCCTGCTAGATTAGCAGTTCTAAGACATGAACCTTCTTTCACTGATTTCTTTGTCTGGTTTTGTACCTATTTTTAAACCTCTTAACTTCAGTTTTTTGAGACATAGCTCTAGCCATTTCTTAATTAAGAGAAATAGGAAATAATATCTTATCATACAGTTTTCTTGTTACAGTAACTTTACTGGAGAAATTTTATTTAAAGTCTGGGTAATTGAGTTTTGTACATTGGTAAATCTTTGTGACCAGTAAAGTTGATTTTTTGATGATTGATACATGTCTTTTTTCTGTGACTTGAACAAGCATACATTTAGATAAATGATGATTTCATCATTTCTGTGGGCTCTGAGAAGAACTAGATATGTTAAGTAAGTTGTATCACTTAGCATCTGAGGAAATGGGGGCTGGGCTTAGTTTGGTATTTGGGGTTTTTTGGTGGTGGTTGGTGGTGGTGGTGATAGTGGTTGGGTTTTGGTTTTGAGTGGAGATTGTGTTTTGAGGGCGATGTTGACAGAGTCTTGCTCAGGCCATCCTTGAACTCATGAGCATCTTACTTCTGCCTCCCCAGTGCTGGGCTCTCAGGTGTGTGTGTGATCAAACCTAGTTGTACTGCTGGGAATGGAACCCTGGGCACCTGCCAACCAAGTTCTGTCACAGAAGTAACTTTCCCAAAAACACTCAATTGAGGGCCCACATTGGGATTTGGATCCAAGCACATATTGTTTCCACTATAGCTGAAGATGCCGCCTTCAAAATATAGCTCATGCACAGTGCACACAGGTTCTGTATAGTGGAAACCACACAGCCAGACTGACTACATACAGGATAGGTTTTATGTTGTGATCTAGCTGAGAGCCACATGGGTGTACATATATATAAATCTCAGTGTTAGTCTTATTGCCTTTGGGAAAGAAAATAGATGATATCATGTAAATGAGCCCAGAAAAGCAAGCAAGTAGGAAAGAAAGAAATGTTTTATAAAAGGCTAAATAAGAAATGGACAACTAGTGTCGCTAAAACCAAGCCCCAATAAGAATGTTGGTTCTGTAGTCCAAATGTTTATATCATTTTCCACAGCAATCAAAGTATCGTGTTATGAACAAAGATCAGTGGTACAATGTATTAGAATTCAGCAGAACAGTTCATGCCGATCTTAGTAACTACGATGAAGACGGTGCTTGTAAGTATGTTATGAATTCCTATGAAAACAAAAGTCCTAAAAATATTAAGTGAGAATATCCATTCTGTAGCATTAACAGAAAGTCTGAGCGAGTGGGAGAGTAACTCGTTATTTATCAGGATGTGGGGAGACAGAGTCTAGATTCAGGAGTGTTGTAAAATCTATGCTAGTAATAAAAACTGCTTCCTCGGTGACTAGACATTACAGCTACATGATCATATTTCAACCTAGCATCTAAAATCCTTCTTTGCCACTTGACTTTTTCAGTGGAAGAAAATTTCATTTATGCATTTAGAAGGACAAAGGAACAATAAATAAGCCAAATTAATTCTGTATAACTCTTAAGCTTTCGGTCTGCTAGGGCCGTCATTAGGGCTGCTGTAGTGTTTCAGTGTTCACAAGGGAGACATGGATAGGTGCATTCCTAAAAAAAAAAATGTCCATGAAATAATACACTTTGACACATAGAAAACAAATACTAAAGAGACAACCTGTCTCCTAAATGTAGTGTTCTTTCCCTGCAGGATGGGGTAGAATTTAATTCTTGAAGAAATAATCATTTTCTGAAGTAGGCTAGCCGACCAAAGGCTACATAGAGCCTGCTGATGTGTATATCTGTGTATGTTGAACCAGCATTTAAAACTGAGAGGTTTGATATAAAAATAAACTTGTAAATTTATTTGAACTATCAGAGAATCTGACACGCTGCACCTGTATTCCTTTGTAGGTTTCAGAGGTTGGAACCAAGTAGTGGCTTGTGTTGAACTTGCTCTCCAGTTTGGCAGTCCACACAGTATTCCAACATTGCCATTTACTGCTTTGCCTGCCCGGCTGTTTTTGTATGGTCTGCTAAAAGCAAGAGAGAAAAGAACACACAGAGCTTTTATGTTTTGAGAAAAACAAGACAAGCGTATCTTCGTGGTCATACTTTCCATACATTTTGAAAACACAAATACTGAAACCTCATTTAAATTGCCTACTTGGCTTCCGGTGGTAAACATTTGCAACCTCTACATTATAAAACCTATTTTCAGAATAGTGGTTAGTCAGGTAGTAGGCATTTACTTTATGCTGTTCTTTTTACTATGTCCTATTTTTAGAATAAAGTCAGTCTTGTGTGGCCACTCCCCCTTAGCAAATGTTCATACTTCTTAATATGGCAAAAATATTTTTTCTGAGTGTAAAATGCCAGTTATACGGGAAAAGGTTAGTTTTGTCTCCATTATAAGGAAGTTCATGTAACGTTCCTTCAGAACTATATGCCCTGGGGATGGGGTGGGGGACAATGACAGAAAGCAGTAGATGAAGTCAGGTCATGTGTATCCTTGCCACCTCAGAGCTTTTTATAGGAATGAGCTTATTGAAACAAGACTTCTTTCTTCTTTCTAGGGCCTGTTCTTCTTGATGAATTTGTTGAGTGGCAAAAAATCCGTCAAACATCATAGCAAGAACTGTCGTGAAGACAATGCAAACCTTGTGAAGAAAATGCAAAGAAGAAGGAGAGTGCACAAAGGGTGCATTTTCACTCACGAAAGACTTCTCATAGTACTTTTTTTCCTTTTTTTTAAAGGAAGTTTTCTTGTTACATGTGATGGGCATTGAGCCACATGTCTTCTGAGACTGAATATTGACATTTTTGTTTCAAGTTATGTTTTTAACATTTATTTCAGAACAATAAAGATTCAGATTTGTGACAAAGGCCTTAAAGTGAAGATGTCCATTGAGTGTCAGAGTGGTATTTATTTTTGTAAATTTGATTTCTTTAATTTTTGAAGTTCTAAATCACCGTGAGTTTGTAAAACTTTAAAGACTTTAAGCAATCTAAATACTTGAGAGTACAGCTTGTCAATGGTGTGGCTTCTAATAGTTCCTCTTTGCATAATTAGGAAACATAGTAACCTTGACTTGTGGGATCCTGTTTTTCTCATAGTAGCTAATAGTGTGGGAAGGACTCTAACTGAAGGTTGCTATGAAAAGCTGTTTATGTCAACTTAAGTGTAGGGTTGGGAAGATTATGTCCAAGTTGTCTTATTTTCTAACCATTAAGTTTTCAGTAAGTATTCTTAATGTGAATTGTAAGTTTTCTGTATTTCTGTAACTTAAAAAGTTCTTATTTCTAAGAGTATAGTCAGACAACTTTAGGAACGTTTTAGAACCAGTATTAAAGTTGTGTTTTTTCTTACCCTTATTTAGTAATTAGCGTGGTTTTAGCCATGAAACTATATGGGTTTTGCTGAGAGCACTTTGTCTGCCTGCAGAATGCTAGACTTGGTTATGATACACATTGGAGAAGAGAAGCATAGGATGTGCGAGAGACTTGATGGGATTGTACACCTCATGAGGCCATTTACTTTGTTCCTTGTGTGAGGTTCTACACTGAGCTCTGCTCCTAACCCCAGTGAAGCAGTTTACATTTACAGTCCTATATTTTCTATTTATCAGGCTTCAGCTGCTAGCAGAAAGGTTGTGGCAGACTTCTATAATTTATGTGGAAGGTACATTTTAGATTAGCAACAGACCTGTCTGTTCATTGCTTTTCAGATCACCCAGTGCCCCTGTGTGAACAAAGCCTGAGCCCCATTCTCAGTAGTACCCAGTTCCATTGTGTAAGTGGAAAGAAATAGATACATTCTTTTTTCCCAATAAGAAAATTTCAGTTGGTATTTACAGCAAAGGTTGATTTTTTTTTCCTGGTGAATTTGTTTAATGAATGATTCTTAGTACTGATTTCTTAAGGGAAAGTATCGTTCTGAAGACTTTATTTGTCTTTTGGTTGATTGCTGGTGTTCTTACTTACCTTAGTAAGGTTACAAAGCTGTACGAAACATGAACAGAGCAGTGAGAAAGAACTTGTTCTAAAGGCTTTCAGGTATGGGGCATTTTCTAGGATTGTTCATTTTCGGTGTGAGACTTGTTATTAGGCGTTAGTATGCCAACAGTGTTATCATTTAACATCACAAATGACGTTTAAAACAAGATTTAGTATAAGAAAAGATTCATAGTTTTACTGTTTGGGGGTGGGCTTGGAGTTACTGGGAGCTGAAGTAGGGGAGGTCATACATATATACTAGGCAAGTGCTCTATCACTGAACTATGTGTTAACCTAGTCTAGACATTGGGATTTATAACTTAAAACATTTTTTAGATTATTTATTTCATTAAGTGTTTTGCCTGCACGTATGTCTGTGCACCGTGTCTCCACTTGGTGCCCATGGAGTTCAGAAGAAAGCATCAAAATCAGATCCCCTGGAGCTGGAGCTGCAAATGACTGTGAGCCACTATGTTAGGTGCTGGGAATAGAACCCTGGTCCTCTGCAAGAGCAGCCAGTGCTCCTAATCGCTGAGCCGTCTCTCCAGCCCCTGGAATTACTTCGTAATTTTATTATCTTCTCCAAGGTACAATTTGGAGAATATTTTCCTATTTTTCTTTTTTAACTTCTAAATCTATTTAAGTGAAATCTTGCAAGCCTCTAGGATACAATCTGAGCTAATGTCCTATCATCTGTATTTAAGTAAAGTAATATTCAAATCTTATTGATGACCTTTAAAAAGCAAATTGAAGTATACTTCATTTGTTACCTATCCAAGGATGGGGGAAAAGAGAATCTTTTAAAATTTTTTGAATCTGGAAGTTAAATTTAAGTTCACGGGTTTGTTTGTTTGTTTGTTTGTTTGTTTGTTTGTTTTTCCTTAAACTCCTCATTCCAGTTATGTCGCTTTTACTCTTGTTCCATATATTTCTTGTCTCTCAAGTGTTAACATTTGCCTGCTTTGAAGGCAAATTTGTCATTTGTCAGAGTGGAGGCTATGTTCCTTGCCTTTATTTGTGAACAGTATATTATTATGAATGTCAAACATTTTAAGTGGTGAAGACAGTATTAAGAGGCCTACAGTTTAGAAATGTGCCTCCTTTTAAAAACTGAAGTGCCTTCCCAAGAATTCTCTTAAAAAATGTTCAGATTTACTGTGTTATGTAGAATGAAATACCTATGGTGCTTTATAATGGTGGAGTTGTCTTCTTATAAAATATACATGTGGAAGAAATAGAGCCAGGTGTGGCATTTTATCAAGAAGGATGGAGAGTGGGTCTCCACAGCCTTTGAGAGTCAGTCATTTGTTAATAAAGTGGTGCCAGAGATTCAAGTCCAGTGTGTAGCAAAACAGTGATGTGTTGTATACTTATCTGACCAACGGTTGTGCTTGTCTCTAACCATCTAGAGATGGCTTGTGTAAGTGCTGCTGATAAAATTCTTGACATACTTTGAGTTCTTAAGACAGTATCTCACTTTGTATCCCAGGCTGGTTTTGAACTCATTCCATAGCTCAAGCTGGCCCCAGCTCAGAAGCCTCTGGCTGAGCTTAGCCTCTGAATGTCTTGATTACCAATGTTAACTGCAGCACCTGGCTGGCTTAGTACCTTTTTGACAGTCTTCTTTCTAATGTTTAATGCATGTGGTTTTGTTGATGTGTTTTTACTCTGAACTAGTCTGGATTAGTTTTTAATGGAATGGAAATTTGAGAGTATTTCAGGAGGGACCCTGAGGAGTCTATCCCTTAACTACAAGAGCCTTCACTTAACAAACCAAAACTTTGTTTAAACAACACTAGGTACTGTCAGTTTGGGTGAAGAGGTTGTGAGATGGGGTGGGAGGGATTTGCTTTCTGAGATAACTGGACGTTAAGGCATGTGAAGTTGCTCAGCTTCAGAAAACACAAAATAAGTTAGTAATGGCCATTTCACATTTTTCTATTTGTTCAACAGTGTATCCTCTTTCTCAATATGAAAATACAAATAAATAATGCAACTTTCAGGAGCAAGTATTAAAGAGTCCCTGAATCATGTGTTTGGTTTTTGAATTTTGATAATACTATCAGGATAGTGATTTATAATAAAGCAGAATTTTGTCTAAAGTTTGTAGAGTAGCTCTCACATGCTTCCTAGATATCTGTAAACAACTGAGTAGGAAGCATTTTAATATGTAATTGAAATGTTTCTTTTTTAAAAAAAAAAAAAAAAGCAAAGTAATCTAATCCTGTTGCTGAAGAAAAGTTTGTTTTTCCTGGAGAAGAATTTTCTCGAGGCTTGTCATTTCTTGCACAATGCTGAAAAATACCACAGGGACCATTATCTTTTTCTCTTCAGAAAGCCCAGAAGAAAAGTCTATTCTGAGTTACCAAATATTCTAGATCTTAAACCAGACAGGTTAAGGTTCATTTTCTGTTAATGGATTTGAAGCCCCCAAAGCAGTGTAACTTTTGTAGTTAGCTTTTATAGACTGTCAAAAAGTGAGTTTCTACTTCATGCCTTGTGCACATTGAGTCTTGACTATCGAGGTAGCAAATGAGCTCTGCAGCACATTTTCTCAGCACCCAACTTAGTGATGAGTCACAAATTTACTATGTTTGCCTTCAGTTGTCTCTGCTTCATTATCGTTAGTATAGTTAGTATTTCCCTAGCTCTGTCCCCACTACCTCTTAACCACCACATAAAAAATAGGTCTGGATAAAAGCCATTTATTGCACTTGAAGGTCAAAAGGAAACTTTTCATATGATTGCTGCTGGTCACATTTGAACCATGCAAAGAGGGAAAAATAATACTTATAATAGCTCGTCATGCAAAACTTAGAATTACTAACTTACCAGACTTATAAGTAAAGTTTTTGAGTAATAGTGGAATACCTAACTATTCCTTGTAAGTTCCCAAAAGAAACATCTGAGTGTCTCAGGTTCTTCCTTTTTGTTGAATACCATTTTGTCATTTTAGATAAGTTACTTGTCATCTGCAGCTTTTTCTGTAAAGTCGTATTGGTAGTATTTATCAGTTTTGTAAAGAAATGCAAATAGATACCAATCCCCAGCATATAATAGTTGTTAAGTAAATATATCTTGGTATATAAACAAAAAGTGATTCAGTTGTTGATTTTCTCACTGCAGGGGAGCTGTAGCTCAGTGGTAAAGTGCGAACCGTATTTTTGTGGTCTTTGGTTCAGTCCCTGGTAGTGGCAAAGAAATAAGAATGAGAATCATTTTACTATGGCAAATTTTAAAATATTTGCTTCTTACTCTGCCATGTGTTTGTTTAAATTCTTTTTAGACTAGATCATTAAGTCAACAAATCTCAGCTTTCTGATTTATATCAAGACCTTCTCTGCCTGTGTATACAGCAGAGCATAAAATACATAGTCTGGGATATGTATGGCTATTTCACTTTAATTGGTACATGAAATACATAGGTCAGTATGGTAATGAGGCTGTTTGGAGAAATACGCTGAGGAAGGATGGAGAGTATGTAAATGTAAGGTTGCTGTTTTAAAGTTTGTGCATGTGTATGTATGCATGCCTGTGAAACAAACATGGCGGTAAGGGGACAACTTGTGGGAGTTGGTTCTTTGCTTCCACTCTGGCT